TCCATGAGCATGGAATGTTTTTCCATTTCTTTGTGTCTTCTTCAATTTCCTTCATAAGTTTTCTATAGTTTTCATCATACAGATCTCTTGTATCCTTGGTTAGGTTTATTCCTAGGTATTTTATGGTTTTTTCTGCAATTGTGAATGGGATCAGTTTCTTGATTTCTCTTTCTGTTGCTTCATTGTTGGTGTATAAAAATGCAACCGATTTCTGTACGTTGATTTTGTACCCTGCAACTTGGCTGAATTCTTGGATCAGTTCTAGTAGGCTCTTGAAGTCGTTTTGAGATCACATCTGTTTTTTCCTGAGTGTGGAGGACTCAGGGGCGTGAAACTGAACTGGGGTAACATGCTTGCTTTACTCCTCAGACCGTCACCAGCGTGTTCAGCATCGACCCGAACAAGACCAGCGCCGGGGGTAGCTGTGGCGCCCAGCTGGTGACCCTGGAGCTCCGGAGTGACAGCGTCCATCCTCTGCTCTTCCAGTTCGGATTGGTGAGGGTCCCTGTTCGCTCGTGCCCCGCGACTTGGTGTCCAGGCCGCCTCACACCATGGCTTCTACCATCAGCTCCCGCGCTCACGCTCCCACGTGGTGGCAGCGGAGCGGAGCACATGGTGCCCTGGCCCGACAGAGAATTGGTGAAGGTGCCCACAGCCCTGCCCCAGTGAGCACCGCAGAGTCGGTTTTCTGGCCCGCCCCTCTGTCAGCATTCGGGGCCCTTGGTCTCCTACCCCCTTTTCATTAAAGATGCCTCTGTTGGGTCCTTAATGCAGCAGGTGTTAGGGGGCACCTGCCGCGTACCCACTGTCGCTCAGCCCAGCCCCGCCTTGGGCACTGCCCTCAGCCCTTCTTCCGGGGACGGCCTCTTGCGTCCTGGTTCCTCCCTTCGTCCCCGTCTGGGAACATAGAAACGGCCTCCGCCAGTATGTGATACGCGCTGTAAATGAGCTTATTGAAAGTCAGGTTTCTCCTAATAAAATTTATGTTGTTTCTGAAGTTCCAGCATTTGGAAAAAGTCTGCCTTTTTATTTTATTTATTTATTTTTTAACGTTTATTTATTTTTGAGAGACAGAGCAGGGAAGGGGCAGAGAGAGAGGGAGACACCGCATCCGAAGCAGGCTCCAGGCTCTGAGCTGTCAGCACAGAGCCCGACGTGGGGCTCAGACCTACTAGCCATGAGATCATGACCTGAGCTGAGGTGGGACACCCAACTCAGGCTGAGCCACCCAGGCACCCCAAAGTTTGCTTTTTTAGAACATGGCTCCTTCAGTCCCTATTTTAGCAGAGTCTGATTCTGTAAAAAGGTCTAGAAGGAACAAATCAACTTTGTGTTCTCAAGATTTATGCGATGCCTTTTACTGCAGACTGCATACTCCACAGCCTCGCTCTGAAGCTAGACATCCAGAGGCAGATGTGTTCCCAGATGAGCCCTCAGGTTTGATCGTAAACATGTGAGTTTGGCAAGTGCTTAAGGACTGTCATCTTCTCTTTAAGGACCCGAATACTAGCCGATTCTTCCTACAAGGAATCCAGTTGAACATGACTCTTCCTGACGCCAGAGGTAAGGCCCCCACATCACGCCCGCCCGCGCAGGCATCCCGGACCACTCACTCTCCCGTGCCTTTGCAGAGCCCACCTTCCAGGCCGAGAACAGCTCTCTGAGGGCACTGCAGGCCACCCTCGGGAACTCGTACAAGTGCAACGCCGAGGAGCGCGTGACGGTCACGGAGGCCTTTTCCGTCAATATATTCAAAGTGTGGGTCCAGGCCTTCCAGGTGCAGGGTGACAAGTTCGGGTCTGGTGAGTAGCGTCGGGGACAGCATTGGAGGCCGCACGGGGTGTGTAGGCTCTGGTTCTGTTCGGATATTTGATCATCTCTTGGCTGCAAGGAGGCGGGTGAGGGTGAGGGTCCCCATTCCCAGTCTCCGAGAGTTTTAGAGCAAACCCCCCTTCCGGCATCACCGTGCCTTCGAAAGGCCCGGCATCTTACAGATGTGAGCACAAGGCCCTGTTTGCTCAAAGGTAGTCGTTTGACGGGGTGGCATGTCCCCCACCCCACCCCGGGAAGGCAGGATGTGGGCTGCTGCCCCTGGTGCGTTGTGTCCGGAAGGGCCCAGAGGTCCTGATTGTGTTAGAAAGGAGCCAGGCTGTGGGGAGGAGGGGGAGGCCCACGTGTGGGGACGGTGGCTGCGAGCACGGCGTGCCCCCCGTGTCCCCACAGTGGAGGAGTGCCAGCTGGACGAGAACAGCATGCTGATCCCCATCGCCGTGGGCGGCGCCCTGGCCGGGCTGGTGCTCATCGTCCTCATCGCCTACCTCATTGGCAGGAAGAGGAGCCACGCGGGCTACCAGACCATCTAGCGTGGCCGCGACAGGGCGGGCCCGCTGCCGCCGCCGCCGCCGCGGGGCCTCCGCTCGTCCCCCGAGCTTAGATTGGCGTTGAAGGAGGCACACTTTCTTGCAAACTGATTTTCAAATCTGCTTTATCCAATGTGAAGTTCATCTTGCAACATTTACTATGCACAAGAGTATTGAAATGACGGTGTTAATTTTGCTAACTGGGTTAAATATTTTGCTAATGGTTAAAACGTTAATATTTACCAAAGTAGAACTTTAAGGTGGGAGGGAAGAGCGCTTTCCTGAATGGGCACTGGCTCCGCTGTTATTTGGCTTTTTAAGATTCTGGTGTTTGGTCTCTTCGTTCTTGACTGAGATTTAAGCCTTGCCAAGGGAGGGTCCCTGGTCTTGACCTTAGGACTGAGGAAGGCTGGCTAGTTGTCAGGCTGGCGTGCTTAAGAAGATCGTAAAACAGAAGGACCCCAAAAGATGAAAATCCGGAACGCTTGAATTAAGCTTTAGAAGCCAGGACAGGCCCGGCCCCCCGCCGGGCGCACAGCTCAGTACTTGGGCACCAGCGCCCCCGCGGCGTCGGGTCCTTCGGTCCTTTCTGCGCTCTGCCACCAAAAGCTGGCACTTTTTTAAAATAGATAAATGGGTGTTATTTTTATTTACCTTTTTGTAAAGTGATTTTCAGTCTTCTGTCTGAGGTCTGGGGTGATCTGTTCTGCACTCGTGTAAATACTGGGTGTCACGCTCCGATCTGCCCACTTGCTGCTGGGGTGGCTGTGCACGGACGACCCTTCACGTCACGCGTTGCTGTAACAAATGCTAATAAAACATCTCTTTCTTTCTTTCTCTGTCTGGACCCCGTGCTTCTGTCCGCCCTCGCGGGAGGCCTCTGGGACACGTGGTGGGTGGCAGGCGCGTGTCCTCAGCTTTTGGGAGAGCTGGTGTCGCAGTAGGTCTGGGCAGGAACTCAGACGAGAGACAGGAGTTGTGTCTGGAGGTGGGCCCTTGGTGGTGACCAAATGGTCCCCCCGAGTGGGAGGGGGGCGGTGGGGACCCCACTGTGGGCATCGACCCGGAGCCCCGCAGCCCCACCCGGCGAGCAGCAAGCGGCCAGCAGGGCGCTCCGAGCAGGAGCCGGAGCCTAATGTTTACCATACTGTTTCCTTGAGAGACCGGTGCCTTCCGAGAGTCGCGCGCCTTGCTGGGGGAGGCTGAAGCCTGCTCGCCGGGGCCCTGGGGCTCAGGAGTCCACAGCCCGTCCCTGCACACTCGCACCCGGAGCTGCCGGCCGAGAAGTGGCGCTCGGGCCACACGGCTGGTGTGTGTCTGGCCTCGCTGGGCCCCACACCAGTGACCCCACACTTGACCACACCATGGGGGCAGCCTTGGGCACTCCCCAGGCTCTGGCAACCCGCCGAAGCCGCCACTTCCTCCTGACGAGAGCAGCTGTGCGTGCAGTTCGGCCCCGGGGCCAGCATCCTCTGGGGCCGTGGGGGAGGGAGGCATCGCCACCGCGGCCGGGCTGGAAGTGAGTCATCCAGGTGCCTTTCGGGGTACGATGCAGACGTGGGGCGATGGCACAGACACTGCCATCAGCCTGCCCAGGCAACGGGGTTTCTTGGCAGCCCCGCCATCAGGGCCAGGAGGCAGGGTCGGGGTCAGGAAGAGAGAGGGGCTCTCGCAGGGTCTTCTTCCTCCAGGGATCCAGGCGACGGCGGCTGCATGAGCGCTCGTGGGCCCAAGTCCAGACTGCGGCTCCCTAAGTACACACCGCGGTCTGCGTACGTTTATGCATCATGATCACTTCAAAAGCCAGTTTTGAGAATTACCCTCTAAAGAAAATCACATGACGTGTGCGCAAACCTCACGTAAAGGTAAATGCCATGCCGCAGAAAGGAAGAGAGAATGTGGCCTTAACACTAGTGACGGTGGTGGGTCTGGTTTTCATTTTCAGCCGACGAGCTGACAGAGAATCACAAGGTCGGAGGTGTTCACCTGCTTTATTAAATATGCACATCTCGCATTTTATAGGTCAGTATCTCAAGTAAAAATACACTTTTAGAAATTTATAGCTTCAGAGCCCATAATTGAGTTAGAGAACATTATTTTAAATCCCTCTTAAAAGAAAATCACGAGTGTAGAGACGTCAAGTACTCCCAGCACCAGGCAGCAGAAAACCCCGGTCAGGTCTGGAAACGCGGCAGCGGCCAGGGTCTGGGTCAGCCCTGCGCCAGCAGCCTGGCCCTGCAGCTGTCGCGAAGCCTGGTGATGGTGGCCATGGACAAGCTCCCGGGCTCTGAGAATATTTTCTGGAACAGAAGGAATTCCTTTAAAACACCAGCAACAGGTGTTCAGCTCAGCCGCCCCCTCCCCCACACCTGCTGCCCCAGGTAAGGGCTTGCATGGCCCCCTCGCTCCTGCAGCCGAGCTGGTCCTGTGGTGGCTCCGAGGGCCAGGGAACCTTGGTGAGCGGCTGGAGCACGGGGACCTGGGGCGGGGGGTGTCTCAGACTCCAGTCTGCTGAGAACGGGGGCTTTGCTGAGGAAGACATGTCCCGGGGGCTGGGGGGGTATGCTGTCCCCTCTCTCACGCATACTTAACAATAATCACTTCTATAATTACTGCTGAGAAGTTCACGGGTACAAACCAGGCCAAATGTAAGCTAGCGGTGCAAAGGGTTTTTTAAAAATAAAGGCGTTCGGGGCGCCTGGGTGGCTTAGTCGGTTAAGCGTCCGACTTTCGCTTAGGTCATGAAGTCGCGGTTCGTGGGTTCGGGCCCCGCGTCGGGCTGTGTGCTGACTGCCAGCTCAGAGCCTGGAGCCTGTTTCAGAGTCTGTATCTCCCTCTCTCTCTGACCCTCCCCTGCTCACTCTGTCTCTCTCTCTCTCCTAAAAATAAATAAAAATATTAAAAATAAATAAATAAATAAAAATAAAAATAAAAATAAAGGCGTTCTTCCATAGGCACGTGTTTGTTACGCAGCACCGGGGCTGGGCAGTGTTTATGCTCCCGAAGGAGGTCAATCAAGTCCTGTGACTGCGGCACCAACTCCAGGGAGCCCCACTCACTCTCCAGAAAGTTCTAGATGTTCTTGTACAGGACGCTGGTGCACGGGCTGCCGGTACCACGCTTCAATGCAGAAATCCGTGTTCAGCTTCGTAGACGTCCCGGGGGAAGGGGCACATCCCTCTCCGAGGGCCACGGCCGCTTGCGCCATACGCACAGCGCTTCCCTTGGGAGGCTCGCGGAGCAGCAGCCACTCGGCCGCCTTGGGCACTTTATAAACACTAGCGCAGACAGCGCCTTCTGTGTGACCACCAACGTGCACGATGGCACTTAAGAACCAGACGGTGCCAAAAGCGTCACGCAGAGGGAAGGCAGCGGGATAGGGCGACACGTGGATTCGCTGCTGCACGTGAAACGTCCAGACGAGCAAACCCGGACCGGTGGGCAGGGGAGGCGTGGGACACCGGGGCCCTCGGGGGTGACAGGTGATGGCCGCATCACCTCGGAACGTGGCAGACACCCCGAGCCGCTGGTGTGTTAACGGAATCCTATCTCATTACGACAGAAAACCTCCGAAGAACAGAGGACGAGCCCGTCACACGTGGGGAGGCAGCGGTGGCACAGACCAGGCAGGCGAGGGCCTCGTCCACGCCCCAGGTTCACGGCCTTGCCATCTGCGGCTTGAAGGGAGAAGTCCACCCGCTCTGGACCAGGCGGGTGTTGTGGGGGCCGAGCGAGTCAGCTGCAGGCCTCTGACGGTCCCCAGCCCGTCACCACCTCTATGTTGAGGCCGCGGAGCGCATCCGGGTGCAAGCTCACATGTCCACTTGCCTGCCCGCCATTCAGAGGACACGTGCGGCTCTGGTGACTGGTAGTCACGTGGCCTCGAGTCTGGCTACAACAGGACCCCTGGCTCCCCCCCGCCCAGGCCGCTCCACGTTCCCACGCTGCCCGCAGCAGGAGGAAGCTCCAGTCGCACACTGTGGCCAGCGTCCTGGATCCTAGGGCAGTCCTGCCATCAGAATGTCGCCCGCTGGACACCTGACAGCCACCACGGCTCCCGGGCAGAGCCGGGGCTTGCTTCCGCCGGGAGGTGGGACCCTCCGGTCGGCCCCTGCCTACATTGCTGACCGTTTCAGGGGCTGAGCAGAGCCCGAAATCGGCCTCTCCGCAGGTACAATTCATGCTCCATTCGCTCAGCACACTGGAGTTACCTATACAGCGCGCCCAGCCCTGGGACCCAGCACGGAGGCTCTGGCTTCAGGAAGCTGCCCTGCGGTGCAGGACACACAACAGACACATGCGACCCCGCTGGGGCAACCGAGAGCAATCTGGGACCAGAGACGCGGGCTGCAGGGGAAGCCTGTGCTGGGGGCCTGGGCTGGCCCAACGGGGACCGAGCATGGGGACAGGCGAGGCCCAGAAGGGACCCAGGGGCAGGCAGCTGGGGACGCCAGCACGCCCGGCGCAGCCCGGCCGGGCCGATGCACCAGGAGCGGAGCCCCGACACTCACCTGCATGAAGGTGTGGCACTCGGTCACAAAGCCGCCTCTGGTGATCTCCTTGAACCTCTCGCAGATGTCCGCCACACTGCCGGCTTCCAAAATGAAGGCCTGGTGCTGCTTAATCAGGGTCAGGGCCACCCGGAAGAGAATCTTTGATCCCTCGTTGAACAAACAGTCCCAGATCCGAAGCACCGTCTGCGGACACAGACACAGAGCGTCACCGGGAGGCGCTTGTGTGGCCCCGGTCCCGAGAGGCACGTGCGGCGCTCACCTCCACGGGCAGGACATCCACAAACAGGCAGATGAACCAGCGCGACACCAGCAGGGTCCACAGGGCGCCGTGCCCGTCCATCAGGGCCGCCACCGCCGGCAGCTTGGTCCTCACCAGCTCCCCCAGGACCTCCTGGTCTGTCTTCAGGCCCAGCATGGCGGGGCTGTAGTAATCTGCGCAGGGAGGACAGCAGGCGGTGGCCGAGCAGCCCTCCTGGCGGGGGCGGGGGCGGCGGCGGCTCCCACACCGCGAGCGCCGTGTGTGTGCAGGCGGGGAACGTTCACACAGCCGCGCTCACGGCAGTGGTGCCACAACAGCCTAAAGGGGGGACCCAACTGCGACAAGTGTGCCGTGTGCACCAGTGGAACAGTCCTCAGCCCCACAGTGAGGGAGGGTGATCCCCCAGGGCGCCTGCACAGCGAACAAAAGCCAGACAAAAGCCAGACGCCCTGGAGCTACCACACCAGGGTGGAGGGGGGTGTTGGGGACAGGCTGGGGGGCGGAGCTTCGGTCAGGGAAGATTGGAAAGTTCTGGAGCCGGACACAGCAGTGTGAGTGCGCTGGCGCCCAGGCTGAGGGCCGGCCGGTAGCCGTGGACACACTGCCTGGCTAAGCAGGGCTGCGGGACACGGGCAGGCGTGGGGACAGTGCTGACAGTGACTCGCGCTCGGAATCAGTCCCGCGTGCTGTCTCCACACTGGAGGGCTCAGTTCCCGGGATTCTAGAAGGGGCCGGATGCCTCTACCCCTCTGAGTGCTGCAGGACAGAGGCAGCGAGAGGCCCAGCTGTCCCGGTCATTCCCAGTGAGGTGCGATGGCTTCGCTGGAGAAATGCCTTAGCCGAGTCAGTGGCCCAGAGCCCCGGGCCACGGGGACACGGGAAGCACACCCACCGAGGCGAACTCACGGCCGCTCCGCTCCTCCCAGCCACGGGCCTGGGAACACGCGCTCGGTCAGAGAGCACGACACTGCTGACAGCCTGTCTCCTCGGAGCGCGTTTGTCCTGCCAGAGAACTACTTCATTCAGTAAAGTATTAACTTTAATAGTTTTTGCTATTAAAATTCTCTCAAAAATGAATAAACATTAAAAATTTTTTTTTAAATACCAGGGATTTTGCAAGTTTTTCCTGCTCATCTCATTTTGCATCTATCTTCTCTTCTTAAACTAAGTGACATCCCGGCCCCGCCCCCGAGGAGACAGGAGCAAAGAGCCTCTGATGTCCCTTCAGAGCATCCGGCAGGCGACCCAGTTCTCCAGGTGACTCCCGGAGCAGCCGGGGTTAAGCCCTTGGGCGCTAAGAGGGTTTGCTGAGCTCCCAGCAAGGCGGCCTCATTCCTGGCCCCAGAGAGGCTTACAGCGGCTTCCAAAAATAGAACCGACGAACTTGAACCCTGATGCCATAGGCCTGGGGGTCACTAGGGCAGGAGCCCCGAGGGCCCCCTCTTCGCCCTCCTCACCGTGTCTGGCCCCGGCGCCCTGACCCCATTCCTCTGGGTCGTCTGAGCAGAAGCACATCCAGGAGCCAGCATTCTGCTAAGCACAGGACAGAGGAGCCTCCTGGAGGCCAGGTTCAGTGTGTGCAGACACCCTGTGTCTGTGTCCAGAACGCGACCCCCATCCCGCGTGGGCTGCCGCCAGCCCAGGGTGTCCCCGCGCCTCGTGGCTCTGGGAGACCGGGCCTTCCCGAGGCTCAGCCACGCAGGCCTCCAGCTATTTCCGACCGAGCCGCTTCTACCCAGAGTCAGGGACCCTCTCCGCGGGGGCTGCGCGGTCCAAGACGCCGTCTCTTCATGCTTTTGGCTTGGTGACGTCTTGTGTCAAAATCAGTTTTTTAATTTTAATTACATTAAGTCAATCTTTTCTATTTTTTTAATTTAGTTCAAGCCCTTCTTCCGTCCGCAGCAATCGTGAAGCTGTTCTCACCCAATTTTCTAAGTGTCAAAGTTTTGCTCTTTCACATATCTTAAATCCCCCCGGAGGAAGAAGAGGGCTTCCCAAGCACAGGGGTCACGGAAGGACGTGGTAAGTGGCCTACTTTCCTGACTAATCGACGGACCTCACATCCCAAGGTCCCCACAGGTTCACAGATCGGAGGAGGACTTCTGCGCTCTGGCCTCTGGTACCCATGCCGTGTCCTCGTTAGGCAGGACGCTGAGCCTCCGACGTTCCGCAGGCCTCTCCGGCTTCCCCAGGTAAACTCCTCAGATGCAAGAACATCGCTCCAAAACCACAGAGGTCCAAGCGGCCGATCTCGCGTGACTTGCGTACATGAGCTCATCCGTGAGATCCGCCCGTGCGGCAGATCCTCGAGGGCGAGCCCCACGTGAGCCGTGTCCTCTGCAGGATGTGAACAGCGCGCAGAGATTCTCTGTCCCTTCAAGGTTCAGAGACTTTGTATGTCTGCACGGGTGCCATTTCCGACGCTCCATTTGCTCAAGAATCAGCTTCATTAGGCAGTATTTTTCTCAAAACTTTCCACTTGGTCTCTCTTCATTTTATTCATATTCTCCTGTGATTCTTAAAAACCTGCACAGATTTTCGATGCCAGCACCCTTTCCATTTCCGCGTACCTTACCCGCTCGTTCTGTACCCGTCCACCAAGATCGGTCTTATCAATTTTCCAGAGAAGCAGCCTTCATCTCAGCTCGTCTTTCCGGCTGCTTCTGTCCCGACTTACCAGTCCTCACCCTGTCGTGCTTGCTCCCCTGCGTGGGAACACACCCTGGAAGCCTGCGCCGCGTGGAGGACAGCACGGCGGCGGCGGCCCCTCCGCGTCTGTGGCCCGTGTCCCACCTCCTGGACTCCCAGCTTCTGTGTGACGAGGAAAGAAACAAGGGAAAGGTCCGCGTGGCCATGACCAACAGCAGCACCTCTGTCCCCGCAGTTCTGACCACAGTGTTCGTTCGACGGGACGTCGCGCGGACAGGAAAGGACATTTGAGGGGCTAAAACACAAGGCTCTGTCGTCACCTGCCCTCCAGGGCCAGCCTGGGGCCCCTCGTGGCAGTTTCGCGCTGTGCTGTGGCCGCTGCTGCCCCTCCCGCCTACGTCTTCACTCACTGAAGCTTCCCGGCCGCGGAGCAACTGCGGATATGACCAGTGTCAGCAAGTGTTCGCAGGAAGGAGCTGAACCGATCACGATACGAACACTCGCAGTGATTCAGCCTCCGGACTCGGCTCGGCCAGCGCCCCATCGGGCCCCGCGTCATTTCCCCGTGCCTGCGGCTCGCCTCCCCGGGAGGAGCTGGGACAGTGAGCTGTCACGCACGCGGGACCGGTGTGTCCCAGGCGGGCTGCTGGCGTGTCCACCCCGTGCCCTGGCGAACGGTAGCACTGGAGCCTGAGGAGGCCCCTTGCGGTGACGGTGCCGCTCACGTTCACTCTTCCGCGAGGCACGTGCCGCGGGACCTAGGCCTTGAGCGTTCTCACCTGCAAAACCGATCAGTGGTTGGGCCCGTGTGGTACCGCTGTTTGAGGCGAGACTCGGGACGCGGGAACGTGCTGTGTGCTCCCAGGCCGAAGCCACAGCCCGACACCCGCTGTGGTCGACGCAGGGTGCCCGACGCGGGGGCAGGCACGCCGGGGGAGGGCCAGGGCTCACCCGTCCGGTGGTCACGAGCACTCCCTGGGCCGCACGTGCGCTGCGCGACTATGCCTGCCTCGGGCCACGCGCGGGGCTGACACCATCACGTGAGGCCATGGCGGGCGCAGGTCTCCTCCCACCCAAGCCGGCCCCGGCCACTTCTCTCCGCAAAGCGGAGTCTACATCGCATCACTGAAACCAGTGGTGTTTACTAATCAATACACTGGAAAGAACGACAGCCACCCCAGTAGTAACAGCCGACAGTGACTCTCGTAAGACCGTTCCCGAGCTCTACAGGAGCCGAGGGACCTCGCAGGGATCCCAGCCCCGCCAGCCGCCGCACGACGGGGCAGCCCGGGTCCGGCCACGGCCGGCACAGACAGCTCGCAGAGCAGAGCCCCCGGGGCCCGAACGGCCGCAGGCGGCCGCAACCTACCAGGCAGGATTCTTCCCACGAGCGCGTCCAACAGCCAGAAGGATTCCTCTTCGCTCTTGGTTATGAGGACCAGGTAGCCCGCTATGAAGTTCATCCCCTGAAACGAGAGCACGGGTCCTGAGCCGCCTCAGGGCCCCACGGCCCTCCAGCGGCTGTGACACCCACAGTCCCGTGTGTCCCCAAATCCGCGCGATTCCAGGCCCACCTTCCGGGGCCAGGTCTGCCCTCCAGTGACCCGCTCGGCACGGGAAGGCAGAACCACAAAGCAGTGTGAGGAAGCTGTCGGGGTCACGGTGCCAGAGTCCACACTCGCCCCTGCTGGGGCCTCGGCCCCGACGACGCCCCTTTAGAGGCTACATCGGCCTCTAAAGCACGTGTTCTGACAGACAAGAGATGTCTGTGTGACTGTGCCCCAGACGACTTCCGTCTCCTTCCCTGTGTTCCCTGTGCTTTCTTAAATAAATGTGTCCTCCTCTAGGATCGGGAAGCAAGTCCAGCCTGTGTCACCCAGTGTCACGGACATGAGGGAGAGGCCACGTGAAGAAGCAGGCACACGCCAGGGATCCCCAGCGGCTGGGGCTGGGAGACCCACCCTCAGGCCGCGGGGGAGCCAGCCTGCCCCCACTCCGCCCCCGACCACAGAGAACAGACTCCGTTCCTGACACGGCTTGCAAACCTCGTCCCCGCGGCCACGGGCACACAGACACGTCCCAGGAGCTGCGCCATCGTGCTCAGGCTTAAAGTTGTAAGGGTTTATTTAAAAAGTTTGTTTATTTTTGAGAGACAGAGAGAAAGAGCGAGGATGGGTCGGGAAGGGGCAGAGAGACAGGGAGACACAGAATCCGAAGCAGCTCCAGGCTCTGAGCTGTCAGCACAGAGCCCGACGCAGGGCTCGAACCCACGAACCCTGAGATCATGACCTGAGCCGAAGTCGGACGCTTAACCGACTGAGCCCCCAGGCGCCCCTGTAAGGGTTGATTTTAAAGCTATTTTTAAAAGCTGTGAGAACAGTGACCAGAATAATGTAAGGATAGTTTCTGGCCTGCCCCCTCCCGGTGCCTGCAGGTGGCCCCGTCCAGGACGGTGAGTGACAGCAAGCCGCGCCCCCCCCCAGCATCTCCCCCCCCCCCCAGCTCAGCCTGCAGGCCCCAGCGCTGGAGAAAGAGCCCAGGGTGTTCCTCCCGGAGGAGCGCCTCTGCTGTGTGCCTGAGCTGGCGTCCCAGACGCTCCGCGCCCCCCAGTCCTGCAGCTGCGAAGCCCCCATCAGCGGGTCCCTACATCCTCGGAAGCCCCAGAAGCAGGAGCACGGGAGGCAGAAGCCGTTTCCCCGACCCCGTGGGTGACAGGCAGGACTCGCGGAACCCGAGCAGCAAGGCCTCCAGCCCCTCGGCCCAGGCGGCACTTCCGCGGCTCTGAACTCGGGCCTTGTCTCTCCCTCCCCGACGGCCCAGACAGAGTGCGGGCCCGCTGTCACCCTCAACCACAGGGAGACCTGCCTTCCAGAAGTAACGTGGGGGGGCACCCCCACAGCCTGCGCTGAGCCCCGCAGGAGCTGGCCACTCACTCCAGTACCCACAGCCCTGGGGCCACATAAGTGACTTCGGACCCTCCCAGCCCCACCCCCACCCCCACGGTCTGACATCAAAGCAAGTCATTAAGCAGATGCTTCACCACTTGTCTAACTGCAAACGTCTCATGGTCACAGCACTGCCGCACGGCGCCGTGAGTCAGGGGTGCACGGGGTCAGCGCATTCCTGCTGCTGATCGCCGGCCCCTTCCCTGGGGGCTCACCTGGCAGTACCCCACAGCCGGGTTGTGGCGCCCATAGGCCACCAGCACGTTGTACAGAGTCTTTTGTAAACAGGGATCTGCGCTCTTCCGGAATCTCACATTGTCCGGGAAGGTCCTGTTCATATCTGCAGGGAAATTCACAACACGGGGTTACCCAAGACGGCCTGTGATGCACCCCTCGGGTCTTCTGCAAGGCCCCCAAGCCCCACCCGGCCAGGTGTGAGCCCAGGTTTCGACCCTGGTCTCCCTTTGCGGACAAGCCCTTGCCACTTTCACAGTTGAGGCCACGGCGACTGGAGTCAGGACAGAAAAGGAAGGCGTCCCCTGCACCCGCCGCCTGCTCCGGCCGCGGCCCCCGCCTCTCCTCGCAGCCCCCCACCATGCAGCCTGTCACACGCCACGCCCCAATGTCCCCAACACCCCTCCTTAGCCAGCGGGTTGCTTAACTCTCGGACCACAGGCAACACAAAACAGGAGAACCTTCCCACTTCTGCAGACAGAACAGAGGCAGAGCCCGGGAGTCCCTTTCAGAGACAAACGACAAAACCGGACACTGAGAAGTGAGTGAACTCAGCACCGCCGGCCTCTGTCTGCTTGTCAGACTCCCGTGTCCTCCGCACGGGGGCTGCGGGAGCCTCCTGTGGACCTGACCCTGAGTCTCACCTGGGCCTCCCACGCTGGCCCCACAGCGGGCGGAAGCGGGGAGCTGTGCATCCACTGCACAAGAACTTCTTTTTCTGACCCACTGACCCCACTTGGATCAGATTAGTGGCGGGTCGGCTGCTGGGCTACGTCTGATGCCCCGACCGGATCCGACGCACAGAGCCCGTGGCCCCAGCACGGCTGTCAGGCCAGCGTCCCCTCAGCTGATGGGACAGCGCTTCCGCCCCTCCGTCTGGCCCCAGAGCCACACCTCTGCTTATAAAAGAACTTACCCAGGCAGAGCAGGAAGTCTTAGTGCCTCGAAGGACGTTATTTCTCATTGTACGTTTGTTTACAAACAAGGTTTTTTCTTGGAATTCTGAATATTCCAAAAACTTAGAATCCACCAGGAATTTAGTGGCGTTTTGGTTTTTTCTTTTTACTAATTCAGACTCTGGGTGACCAGCTGTGCTCGTTCTTATATAATATCCTCTCTTAGCAGATGTTTTGCAATTTTTCTCTGGCCCTCGTGGAGGCAGGTGGGGACAGGCCGTTCAGTCTGTGCCCGCGGGCCCTGTGAATAAGTGAGTTCTCCAGATCCCTCAGAAAAACAGACACAGATCGACCTTGGTGCAGCACGTCCAAGCTGGGCACACGTGCAAGAGACTGGAAAGCAGGGTGTCGGAAGCGTCTGGGCAGCGCCGTCCGTGACGGCAGACCCGCAGAGTCAGGGACAGCGGCCCCAGCGCCCCCCGGGGCCAGAATAGACCAGCAAAAAGGGCTCTGTCCACACCCCAGCGGGACTCGGCCCTGAGAAGGAAGGGTTCTGACAGCTGCTGCAGTGTGGACACGTCCTTGCCCGCGCTGGGCAGTGAGGGACCCCCAGGGACATGCCTCCGGGGAGTCCCACCTCTCAGTACGCTCAACTAATTGGGTTTTATTTATTTATTTATTATTATTTTTTAAATATTTGAGACAGAGAGACAGAGCATGAGCTGGGGAGGGGCAGACACAGAGGGAGACGCAGAATCTGAAACAGGCTCCAGGCTCTGAGCTGTCAGCACAGAGCCTGACGTGGGGCTCGAACCTGCAAACTGTGACCTGAGTCAAAGTCATGACCTGAGCCAAAGTCAAAAGCTTAACCGACTGAGCCACCCGGGTGCCCCTCAACTAATTGGGTTTTAAAAACTTATTTTATGCTTAAGTGTGTATTTCTCAAAGGCAAAATCAGATGAGCAGATACACTTCCTAAGAATCTAATTATTCAGCTTGGGTTAAACGACAGTCTTGAGCACTTTGAACAGTTAGGAGTTCGTGAGCCTGTGTGACCACTGAGAGCGTCTGGGGCACCGTGAGCACCCAGATGACGAGTGGAACTCACAAGACACACACCCGTGTGCGGCGTTGGGACGCGCGGGTCACGTGAGGCGTCAGGACGAGGGGTCGGGACAGATGTGTCCCGCGTCCCTGAGTCCCAGGGCGCTGCCCTCAGCACAAAGCCTTCCCAGCCATTACCCTCCAGGTCACGACGGCCGGCTCAGCGCCCGCGGCAAGGTCTTCTGTGTCCTGCCCTTACTGACCTTACCGGCTGGCTGGCGTCAAGTGTCTCCCAAATCAATGACGAACACTCACAGATGCCTAAGCTTTGATTTTCCCGTAAGAAAAATAAAACTTCAAATCCAAAGCAGCGGGGCGACCCGGAACAGCGCGAGCCCCCTCCTGGGCCGCCCGCCCCCACGCCCGCCCGCGGCTCACCTGTCCCCACGGCCTCCTCCAGCCTGCCGTTGTCCTCTCCCCGCAGCAGCCGCTGGTAGTAGCCGGGGTTCTGGTCCATCTGGGCCTGGGCTCCGCTCACCCCCATCCAGACGCGGGCCCGGTGCTCCAGGGGGACCCCTTTCCGGATATAGCGCTTCACTGAAACGGAGACAAGGGGCTGCTGCCAGGGCCAGAGCGGCGTGGCCTGGGGCCAGAGCGGTGTGGCCTGGGGCCAGAGCCTCGCAGGGCCTCAGAGCAGAGGCCGCCGACCTCCATGCTTTCAGCTCACATCTCCCTGTCAAACACGAGAAGGTGCAGAACCTTGCAGACGCCCGGCCAGCCGGCTGCACACACTGTTCTAGACCGTTCTCCCCTGCGTGGGGCAGCCCTGGTCCTCCTGCGCTGCCGGCACTGTGCAGGTCGCCGAGGGCCGGGCCCCAAGCTCTGGGTCAGGGCCCCTCAGACCAAGATCAGTCATGGCAGCCCAGGGCGGAGCTGGTGACCGGCCCCACGAGCTGCACATACAGGAGACGGCCGGTTGGCCAGAGGGACAGCTGTGGGCAGGGACGGAGGCTCAGGTGTGCGGCCCCGCCCCGGAGGCAACAGGGCCAGCAGGTGTCTGGGCTAGGGGTCTGTGCGCCCCTGGCTGGGGGGTCTGTGTGCCACTGGCTGGGGGTCTGTGCGCCCCTGGCAGGGGGTCTGTGCGCCCCTGGCTGGGGGGTCTGTGTGCCCTGGCTGGGGTCTGTGTGGCCCTGGCTGGGGGTCTGTGCGCCCCTGGCTGGGGGTCTGTGCGCCCCAGGCTGGGGGTCTGTGTGCCCTGGCTGGGGGGTCTGTGCGCCCCTGGCTGGGGGGTCTGTGCGCCCTGGCTGGGGGTCTGTGCGCGCCCCTGGCTGGGGGTCTGTGCGCGGGGGGTCTGTGTGCCCCTGGCTGGGGGTCTGTGCGCCCCTGGCTGCGGGTCTGTGCGCGCCCCTGGCTGGGGGTCTGTGTGCGCCCCTGGCTGGGGGTCTGTGCGCCCCTGGCTGGGGGTCTGTGGCCGTTGTCACCGTCATGCTCTGTACCTGACAGGTGTCAGGGGACAGCCACTTCCTCTGGGAGGGGTATTTTTACTGAAAATAAATATGTGAAGGACGAATCATTAATTTTCTAATGACCATAGAGACATATAGGAAAAGAAGCCGAGAGCCATGAGCTTCCTCAGTGAACCACTGCTCACTCGTGTCCCAGGTAAATGGGGAAGATTTGTGAGCCTGACATTCAGTGAATTACAGGAAGCCTGGGGATGCAACACTGTGCTTTAAAAAAAAAAAAAAAATTTTAATGTTTTATTTATTTTTGAGAGAGAGAGAGACAGCGTGAACAGGGGAGGGGCAGAGAGAGAGGGAGACACAGAATCTGAAGCAGCTCCAGGCTCTGAGCTGTCAGCAGAGAGCCCGACGCGGGGCTGGAACCCATGAACCGTGAGACCATGACCTGAGCTGAAGTTGGACGCTCAACCGACTGAGCCCCCAGGTGCCCCACAAATAGCATTTTTAAGAAACATATTTTAAGAAAAAAGAAAGGCCATACAATCAAAATAATTCCACGATCTGCTACAAAGAGAAAACAATCTATAAGCGCCAGCTGCGTTTCACGGAAGCCACGACAGGAATAACTGAGGGGCCTCCGAGGAAAGTTCTACTGATAAAACCCCGCTAACTCACACTCCATGCTAACCTGCCAAGGACGCAGCCTCTGCATAAGCTTCCAGAGGCCGTGTGGGGACAGGAAAGGCCCCCCAGGTGTGTGTGAGATGAGGGGCGGAAGCCACCGGAAGCGGGAACCCTCTGCAGGGTCCCCACGCAGGCGCGGTCATGCGAACCAAGGACACTAGCCATTCGGACCACCTTGCCTCCAGCCTGCCGTGCTCTCCCGGGAACTGGGCGCCCCGGACCCCCGGCCTCAGGGAGACGGGGAGACCCTGCAGCCGCCACCCACCCACCGGGGGCCAGTCCGGCCGGACTGTCCTAACTTGCGGACGCCAGGCGCACCAACAGTTTCCAGGACCCACCACAGTCCCGAGGGGTCTGGAGGGGCCGCTGAGCTGGGGGCTCACCTCCCACCTAGGGCCCCACGATGGCGCCGCACAGCTGAAAACACACTCGCAGGCCTCAGAGCAGAAGAAAACTCCAGAAATAACCCACATGAGCGGAGCTGACTGCGTTTTGCCAACATTGCAGAGGAAAGTCTTGCGGGCAGAACAGTCTTTCCGAGGAAGGCCCACAGTGGGGCCAGCGGGACTGCCCACCGGGCGAGGGAGGGAACCGGGTCACCGCGGGCGGAGCACGGGCAGCGGGGCGAGATGCACACAGGGCCCCGAGCCCACAACCCCGCGTCAGGAAGCCTCAGTGCGCAGGCTGCGTGCACGGCTGTTTATACCGTCGGCCCAAAGGGCCCCCGGCTGCCGGATGTGGTCCCGGGAGGGAGGGAGGGAAGGACGGGACCCCTAGGTCAGGGCACGCGGAGCGAGCTGCCTCACGGGCCCTGGACCGTGGGGCCCACTGGCGGGACACCCCCGTCGGCCCCAGCACCTGGGGGGGGCAGCGCACGCGAGTGTTTAAGGACATGGGCTGGTTTGGGTCTTGAGAAGACAGGGCCTCCGTGTGAGGTCACAGAAGTGCTAACTGGGAAGAGTGGATCTCGCTGCAAATTCACCTCGTAAATAGAAAAAAAGGCACCGCAAGATGCTTAAACCCCTCACTGGAGTCGGACACTGGATTCTGCTGGGAAGGCCTCAGTTTCCTCATCAGACGGGGGTGAAGTGCGGGGCCCCAGCCTGAGATCCGGGCGGCCAAGGAGGCCGAGCTGTGTCAACAGCTTCCGGGGACAAAGGCTGCTGCCTCTTTGTCCTTCATTATCTGCGCTCACGAAGCTTCCAGCTTCTTCAGAAGGGAGCAAAAACAGCCCACCCATCCTCAGAGACTGACCCCTTCCCCAGGGCAGGGCTCGCCCAGCAGCCCCCGACCTTGGGAAGACAGGGGAGCAGCTCTTTAAAGAAGGTGGGCCCCGGACAACTGACTCCCGGCTGCCTGTCCCAACAATCGTCCCAACAAAGTTAAGCAAATCCCTGCGTCTACTGGTATTTGCCTTTGGAAATACGTGTTTGCAGCGTGATTCTGACTTAGACGGTGCTGATATTCGTAGCTACCAGGGAGGAGCTCAGACCCTGCAGAAGGCGGGTGGGCCTCGGCCCTCGAGAAGCCGGGAAGGGGGCTGGAGCGGGGGTGGCTGGGCCAGGGCGGGACCGAGTCCGTTTGTCCAGGCTGCAGGAGAAGGATCGGGCTGTCCCACGCACTCCTGGTGAATATTTGCTGCAGACAAAAAGGAAGAGGAAAAGGAAACCCTGCTTGTGTCCACATGGCGGAACTGGGCTGTGAGTTCGGGCGGCCGCCTGGAGGCAAGGGGACACCAAGACTCAGAGGCAACTGTGCTCCTGGTGACAGAAGGGCTGGCGCCCGTACGACAGTCCCCCAACACAGAAAACTGCACAGGACGACAAAGCAACGAGACCCAGTCACTTAGGTCACAGAATGGGATCAAGGGGGAGGAGGGGGCGCGGCTGCTGAAACTCGGGAGGCTCTGAAGCGGCTCCCCGGGGGCCTCCCCTAGGGTGTCCCGGCCCAGCCAGGACAGTCGGCCGAGCGTGACTGCGGAACCGGACTCACATTCCTGGAATAACGCGCCCACTCCTGTCTGCACCTCACAGCCACCCCTGCAGGGCCGTGCGGGTGCTGACGGGCTTCCCGACCGGCCTGCCCCGAAGCCACACCAGGGCCAGCCAGACACCAGGAGCCACCGAACCATACGAGCCACGTGCCTCTCGCAGACTGATCTGTGCCCTGTTTCCCGAAAGAACACCGGGCCACCCTCCACCGGACGCCCTGCCCCAGGCCCGAGGCTCATCGCAAAGCCGCCGCTCTTGCTCCCAAACCTGTTTTGCCCATAATACTTGTCACCACAGTCACGTAGTCTGTTACGTAAGTCAAGGAAATGTTAAAACAAAAAGAGAATTATTTCAGTAAAACAACCTTAAATTCTTGGAGTCCACAGACACCAGTGCTCAAAGAAAATAGAAGAAAAAACAAGACAAAACCTTTGAACCAGGAAAACAACTGAAAAGATAGCAAGGGTAAGCATCTGGAAGGTTCTGCACCCGGATGCTCTTAACTCCTGCTCACCCTGGACAGAACAGATGCAGGAAAACAGACGCATGGCACCAAGTGCGGCTTGGGAAGGAGATGCCGAGGGTCCACCGGTGGACCCACGTCCCTCAAAGGGAACGGCTAGAACCAGACAGGGACACAGAGGCGCACACAGTCTCACAGTGACTGCGCGTCACCCGCCTCCAGGTCCAGAGTCAGCCCCAGCAGACTCTCCTGCGCTACGGTGAACTCCCGCCCCGCAGGCCACCGCCGCATTGGCACACACGCGTGTCCCTGCGCACGCCCTGCTTCCGGGAGACGCGCGGTGGTGTCAGCGATCGCCTCTGCCCACCACAAGGGCCAGGCCAGGGGAGGAACCCAGGGGAGCTTCTCTGCTTCTACTGTGAGGAAGATTTTCACCATGGATCCACACTATGTTTACTCTTACACACTTGTATTTTTTAAAAACAAAAGACCTGTGAACTCTTAAAAATAAACAGAAAGGCTGGGGCGCCTGGTGGCTTAGTTGGTTAAGCGTCCGACATTCGCTTAGGTCGTGATCTCGCGGTTCGTGGGTTCGAGCCCCGCGTC